TTTATTATAATAAAAAAATAAAATATAGCAATAAATCATATAATGAACAATTGAAGAATGAATTCAAAAAGAAAAATGTGTTTTTGTTAATAAAATCTCTAAAAAATTAGGAGGAAAAAGTCACAAAATTATATTGTTTCAAAAAAAAGTGTAAATTTAAAGTTAATTAAATAAAGAATTAAAGTTTTTTTTCTTTGGGCTTAATAGATAAGGAAATGTTTAAAAACCTCAAATTCCTAATTAATTAAATTCTCATAAAGTTCATTTTATTTAAATCATATCTTTATTTTTTAAAATTTTTTATTTAGATCATAAATATTCTTTCCACGTTAAAAATGATCCTTAAAATCCATACTATAAAATCAAAATTAAAAATAAACAAGTTTAATGATACAATCATGCACATAAGATACAAGAATCGATTAAATTGACTATATTTATATTATATTTTTAATTACTAAACTAGAGTCTGTCAGAAAATGTGTTGAACTAGAGGGTATACCAATCATTTTTCAATAATTAATTGATAAATTTTCATATTATTCCTTAATTAAGTATTATTTAAATGAGACTTCTTATTTCATATGTATTGTAATTGTCTTTTAAAATTAAGGTAAAATAGCAATAAGCATATTAAATGACCTCCTATAATAAAAAATTAGATAATTAAATTTAAAGGCCCGAAATAAGAATTAGACTTATTAAAAATGAATAGATGAAATATTTTATTAAATTTTTATGAGAAATTATTGTCCAAAAAATTAAAAATTTAAATTTAAATAACTAGGTTCATACACCGTTAGGCACGTCTGCTATTAATTTCCCAAATTGCTAGGATGGGACCTAACATGTTTCTTTTACACTATTGCATACGCCGACTGTAACTCATTTTTTTTTGTCCTTATAATGATTGTTTTTAATTCCTGGTTGCATATAATTCTTTATATTTAATTGTTTAAATTTATCATTAACATAGTTTATATACGTAATTAGTATCATAAGTTATATTTCAATTTTATGTTATAGTGCCATAATATGTAAATATATGATATAATTTTTTTTAACTTTTCAATATAAATCGCTATTTTTCATAAAAGATATTATTTCCTAATTAAGGGTACATGATAAAGAAATTCATTTTTATATAAAAAATAGTTATGACACGACAGAACAAACTCTACTTTATTAAGCTTGTCTGTTGTTAATTAACCCAATAACAAATCAAACTATATATATGGAAAAAATGTTTTAAAGGTACTCCACCCAAATGTTTTATGGAGGGTTTGTCTAAAAATTTATTTCTTAATTTATATTTTTAAAAATCAATTATTAAATTAAAAGTTCTATTCATATAGATTATAAATATTAATTTTTATATTGATTTTGTAAGCATACTTTAGTTAAGTTTACTTTCACATTGTAGTATTGAATTCTTTGCTTAACATCGTTTTTCAATTCTGTTTTTGTAACCCATTGGACCGGTCTGCCACTGATTACCTCACCAGCTCGGATGGGACCTGAACATGTTTTTTCCACACCCCATTGCATACGCCTATATGAAATTTCCATTTTCCTTTTCCTTTCCTTTCAATTTTTTTCAATGAATTATTTTGTATTTAATTATTCTTGACTTTTCAACCTTTTGTTTTACTATCTTTTACACGCGTTAGTGTTAAGTAATACTGTTACTGCTTTACATATAGTTCATGCCTGCACAGATTATAAATAAAAATTTACTTGAATTAATATTGCATAATTTAAAAATATTTAAGATGGAATGTAAATTTTATAGAATTTTTTTTTTTAATTTGATCCGCAAATCTCAAAGAAATACAAACAACAAACCATGTGAACAATAATTTAAAAATTAGAGGAGCTTGAGCTTCACCCACTAATTATTTTTGCCATTTACTTCTCCAATAGTTCAATCGGATGGGACCTAATAACATGCATTTTTTCACCCCATTGAATACGGTTACTATAATCTTTTTCTTCACTTTGAAATTTCTTTATCTCTCTTTTTTGTTATGGAGTCATTAAGTTTTGCAAAATAGATGCTAGACATGCCTTTTTCCACATCCCATTGCATACGCCTATATGAAATTTCCTTTTTCCATTTCCTTTGCTTTCAATTGTTTACTGTGAATTATTTCATATCCAATTATTCTTGACTTTCAACCTTATGTTCTACTATCTTCCACACGCTTTAATGCTAAGCAATAATGTCCATATACTCGGTCCTCTTATCTTCCACGAGGAGCAGGGGATGCGGATGGCTAATTAAAATGATTGAGCTCCATCGATTTTTCTTGCTGCAAATTAGAAGTCTTTCCGTTTGGTTTGGGTGGTGACTGAGGAGCAAGTAAACGAGGGTCAACTTGTACCGACAAAAACAATTGAAGCTGATTATTCCAACATTCTACAAACTTCGGCCCATTTCAGGTCATGGGTCATGGTTGATGCCGCCTTCCATCTTACATTTAAAATTAAATAAAGGTTTTCCACTCACGTGATTTTATTTAAGTATTTATTATATTTTTTTAATAATTAAGTTATATAAAAATAACGAAATTTAATTTTAATTTTAACAATTAATCAATTATGTTAAAA